TGTAGACCCTTTTACCCTTTTGCAACTTTCGACATATGTGTTTTCGGCTCCACGCTTGTGTCAACAAGCCGTGAAGCATACGTAGGACTTTCGGACAACGCTTGTAAAGAACGTACGGAACACCATTCGGACCTGGAGCAGACTTGCCGCTGGCTCTTTTCACAATTTCCTCAACCTCAGACCACAGGGGAGGTATCACTTTAAATGGTACCTTCGGCAAATCAGGCTGCATGAGGCCGCTAAGGATCTCTGAATTGTTATCGAGGGGCTCATTCCTCTTCTTGTCAGAGTAAATTTTTGAAGAATTTCTCTCGCTCCCTTTTGGTTCTTCTTCTGTTGTTACAGAAACGCTCAGCGCGACAGAGGGCACTGTGTCTGTTCTTTAAATGCAACCAGACTTCATGCAGCCCCTCCCGTTCGCTGCATGTAGCGGCTTTGAACCGTTTTCTGAGGGCATTCTTGTCTGCCCAACACTTCAGAATGTCCCTCTGTCTCGCATTTCATCCTTCCCGCATGCTTTCTCAGACCATGCAACCCCGTGAAGCTCTTTCCACATGTACAGAGCCAGCCTGGACGTTGAGCAAGAATCTCAGTCCGGGGGCTAGCACTGTCGTCACCGTTTGTATCAATTTGATTGGGCCCATCATTCTCCCCCTCTTTCGAAGGGCCCTGGGGGCATATTTTTATATTGGTTTGCGAAATCGGAGGTATTATACTGTGTTAGGGGTGATCAACCCGGTCCATAGTCGACATCTGTCTTCAGATGTCAGTTTATCCACCCCCCCCCCCCCCGGCGATACCGGGGGCCAGTCTTTCCATAGGTGTCAAAAGGTCTCTCCCGATCGTCACCAGCCTTTCCTGGTTGTCTTGTGGGCTAGCCACGTACAATAAGAATAAACTCCACAGGGAAGCATGTACAGCAGGGGTCTACCAATTATCAGTCGAAGTAATCTTTCGTCGACAAATGTTTCGGCCCACGAGCTCCTATACATTTTCAGAGAATGGGCCCACCTGAGTTCATGTAGCTCAGGGTTGGTTTTCCCTGCTGCACGAATTACCGGATGTTATTCGGATAGGGACAAGACGAATTGGTGATTTTGCAGAAGGTACTGTGAGATAAGAAATATAGTACTACTAAGTAAGTTGGATTGAAGATTAGCTTTTGTTTTAGTAGTTATGGTCATATCATCCGCAAATTCCGGCTCTGATGTGTAGGATGCTGTCGTATTCCAGCACCCAACTGCGTACTTCTTTGCCTTCTCCTTACAGGTCTTAATGACAGCTTCCATCACAGAGGAAAAGATAAGGAGATAGAATATTTCCCCGTCTAACACTGCTAGTGGTCCTAAATTATTTTGATCTTTGGTTTCCCTTTCCTACATAAGTTCCGTAGCTTTTGTAGAAACTCTATATTGCACTGATGAGGGATGATGGAATGTTCTTCTTGGCCAAGCAGTCCCAGAGCTTTTTCTAGTCCAGGAAACATAAGTGTATCTCACTCTTATATTCTAGAATTTTTTCACTCATCTATCTGAGTGTGAAGAGTACTTCGGTTTGCTATGAAACCGCATTGGGCCTGACCCAGTTGTGGTTCCGTCAGATGCTTGAATTCTGAAGTAACTTTTACCAGAAACGCAGAGGACGAATATGCCTCTGTCGTTTTCACATTGTCTGTTCTTATCATTTTTAAATAAAGCTATAATGACTGCAATATCTTAATATTTTGGCATGTATAGCCGGCTCTGTGGCTAAGTCGATGCGAACACTTCGTAATGCCGGGATGCCGGGTTCGATCCCAGCTGCGGGCCATATGTCTTGCGTTGGTTTCGACAGTGGTATCAAGAAAGCCGACCGTCCAGGAGCAACGGCAAACTACTGGACGTAAATTTGCCTAGAAAAACCAAACAACAGCCAGGGGTTGTTGGGGTTGGTTCTGCAACGTCCTGTAAAGGATACGCAACTAACCTAACCATAGTTGTATTACACAAAGCCGGCTTTGGCTTGTAAGTCTTAATACTCATCCTTTCTCGTTTTTTTTTTTTTGGGGGGGGGGGGGCAACTGTCGGTGGTGCCTTGTTGGAGCAGTGTTTTAGTTGTTCAGTTTTTATTTTTCATTCAGTGAGGACAACAGTTCGAATTGAACTTTCTGCTAGCTCCACGTGATCAATGAGGGATATTAAAGAATAGATCTCTTTTCTGGCAACATTGTATTAGACCACCTATGTCCTAGCAAAATATCAAAATTAGGATGGGGTTTAAAAAAAAAACAAAAAACTAAAATGTTGCATCCCTCATAGGGACGACAGGTACAGTAAAATTTGGCAATGTGACTTCTTCTTTTTCTTCTTCACTTCCTCTTTTACCGTTGTGGGTGTCAAGGGAGATATAAGGTTCTGTTTCTAGCTCTTCTGGCTGCCTCGACCATAGGCACATCGTGCTGTTGCAGAGTTTCTCTGATGTTATCCTTCCATATTGTTCTTGGTCTACCCCGTGCTCTACGTCCTACTTCTCTTTCCATGTATGCTTTGTATGGTATGGTGTCACAAGGCATTCTCTCTAAGTGGGCAAACCATTTCATTTGCTGTCTTTGTATGTAATCCAGAATTGGTTCTGTGCCGACTTGTTCTCTTATGATCTCATTCCTGATCTTATCTCTTATGGTCACTCCTACAGCCCTTCTCATACATCTCATTTCCGTGGTTACTAATTTTCTTTTATGGTTTGTTTTGAGTGACCATGACTGGCACTGGTAGCACAGAGTTGGAATAAATATGCTTTGAATAAGATGTCTCTTTGTGCTGATTGGGATTGTCTTATGCTGTAAGAGGGGGGCTAGCTGTCCCAATACTTGGTTTGCTTTACTGCATCTAATGTCAATTTCTTTATCCAATTTCCCATCTTCGGTAAATGTAGTTCCCATATATTTAAACTCTGATGCCTGTTTAATGCCTTTATATTCTATTGCTATGTTTAGATCTGTCTTCTTTTTTCCTATTGACATTACTTCTGTCTTTTCAGTGTTGATTTTCATATTATTTGTTTTACATTCTTCAATCAAGGATGTTAGATGTTGTTGCAATTTCATGGCTGTTTCTGCTATCAAGGCCTGGTCATCTGCAAAAAGTAATTCGTTGATCTTACTAAGATCTTCATTCATGGGCTTGGCATTCTTGCATATACTGTCGATGTAGGTGATAAACAGCAGTGGTGATAAGACACACCCCTGTCTTACTCCAGATGTCACTGTGAAAGGATGAGATGTTCCCTGATTTATTCTAACTACACTTCTACAATCCCTGTATAAACTTTTGTACACTTCGATGAGGTGTTCGCTTACTCCATATCTTGCCATTACTTTCCATAATAATTGTCTGTCGACTCTGTCAAATGCCTTCTCCTGGTCTTGTTGTATTCAATGTTCTTTTCTATTATCTGTTTAAGTGTGAAGATGTGACTGCAACAGACAAATAATGTCAAGTACACGCGTATTCTGGTTGATACATTGGTATACTCTGGATTTCAAGCCCCCCTTCTCTCTCTCTCTCTCTCTCTCTCTCTCTCTCTCTCTCTCTCTCTCTCTCTCTCTCTCTCTCTCTCTCTCTCTCTCTTCCGAATGTCAGACGGGCCTACGTGCCCAATTTGTAAGCCTTTGAAAATAAAGTTTGTTCGTTCTCTCTCTCTCTCTCTCTCTCTCTCTCTCTCTCTCTCTCTCTCTCTCTCTCTCTCTCTGCACATTGAATTGGAGGCTGCAGAAATGGGAGAATTGAATAAATATTTAAAACATGTATAAACAAAACTATCGACCTGGATCTGGTCCCAGGTGGTCCTTGAAATGTCCTCTGTTGAATCATAGTAAAAGTAAAGGTCCCTTTTCCACGCCCTTATGTGTATAGGGCATATAGGGCTAGACCTAAATTTTCATAGACCAATCGGCACAAGATGGGTAATGTGGTCAGCATCACGTCGATCGCCTTCACTTCCCGGGATTGCACCCGGTACCCACTCAAGGCTGGGTCGACCTGGGAGTCAAGGTCATGTTTGAGAAAAGTCCGGCTCCTCCAGGGAGCGAACTCACGACCTTCCGATCGGCTCGCGAGTCTCTAGCCGCTACGACACGGCGACTCCCTCTGCTAAATCATTAATTCGTATATGTTTTACCGTAGAAGTGAAGTTCCAGTACAAATTGAAGAGTAGAATTAGAATCTACGGCAATCACTGTGGGATAGGCAACTTTAGGCGTAACTCAAGATCAATGTTTCTACCCCAGAATTATCTCGATTGATGCAAACACCTCCAGGGCTTAGAATTACCGCATAGAATTAAGATTGAAAATATAATAATTATTATTTCTTCTTCTTCCTTTCTCTGGAATGCTTCGCGGTGTCAGGGAAGGAAGAGATCTCTAAAACGAGCCTTTTGTTGGCTTCGTATATAATAGTGTCTCTGAAATTTCTGTAGGCCATCTTCTGCGTGAACGACCTCTGGTTCTGTTACCGTAGTATCTGTATAACATTGCTCTCTGTGGTGCCCTGTCTGCTGCCAATCTTGTTACATGGCCAAACCAATTTATTTATTGGCTCCCTATATAGTTCAGCATTTGTTCTGTACCGATTCATCGTTCCTAAGTCGATCTATCCTCTTCTTCTTTTTCATCATCATCTTTTGCTTCGTCTTCATTTTCTTCACTTGCTAATTTACCAATTCAGGAGCGTTACCGCCCCTACCATAGACAAATCGTGCCGATGCAGAATTTATTTGACTAGATCTTTCCATATTGTTCTTGATCTACCTTGTCTTTCTCTCTTCTTTTGGCGTCTGCCTTGCATCTTATGGCGTTACAAGGCATTCTCTCTAAATGGGCATACCACTTAATTGGTTATCTTCGTATGTAATGTATAACTGGTGTTGTGCCGACTTTTTCGCTTACTGAAAATGTATTGCCATTCAAATGATTCACAGCCAAGTGTTTTTTAAAGTAACCAAGTTCTGCCATACTCCAGTCTTCCAGCTCCACCTGTGTTGATGGGACCGCTGATAGCTAACACCGTTCTGTCTGACGGCGAGCGGGTACATGAAAACAAGATCAGGGGAACAACGTCCTTTGTCAACAATGGCGGTGATGTTAAATTTTCAGTTCTATCTATATACTGTAGAACATGTCTGTTTCTTTCTGATCTAAAAGTCATTATCATTGTTCCTATTCGTCAATACAAGATGCAGCTTGACGCTTGATGTTGTATTATAGATTACAATTTACCAAAAAAAAAATGTTGATGCGTTTAATATTTGGTCACTTTCATTAGCAAAATACACGTAACTTTTACGGTTTTAATTACTTCAATTAGCACCTTAGACAAACACAAATAATATAAAATGATGTGGCTATTAGCATGTACACAAAGCATCTCTCAGCTTTTGATCACAGATCAGCTGTAAAAAAGTAAAGGACCCTTCAAGCCTTCAGGAGTATTGGGTATACAGGGTTAAACCTAGATTTTATACACGAATCGGCACGCGGTGGGTGCTGTGGTCAGCATCAACTCGGCTGCCATTACTTCCCAGGACATTACCTGGTACCCACTCAAGGCTGGGTCAGCATGGGACCCAAGGTCGCATTTGTTTAAAAAAATATACGACTCCGTTCAGATTCAAACATGTACCCTGTCGATCCACATGCGAGCGTCTAGTAGCGACACCATGGCGGCCCCCATAGATCATTCGCGCCACCGAGATCCTCCCTGGGGGAGGGAGCCCTCAATCCGTTATATTTGTCTGGAAAAGTGGTCGGTTGGGGGGGGGGGGGGGGGGGGGGCAAAAGGGCTTGTGTTTCATTAGCAGTGCTTTTTGTAATAAACATTTGCTGAATTGCAAAAAAATATCAAAATATATTTGAAATACTATGAAATGTGCAAATGAAAACATACAAAGAGAACGTCTAGACATGGTTAGGGTCATCACATACATATTGTCTAGGAAAACAATAGGGAAAGTTAGTTGTTTGTCCTTTAAAAGATGTTGCAAGACCAATCCCAAATTTTTCAGCTGTTGTGATTTATTTTTTTTAACTACGAAAATTCTACGGTTCAGTAGTTTTTCATTCGGCTCTCGATACCATAGCCGAAACCAACGCAAGGCAAAAACATAACCTGTAGCTGGGATCGAACCTGGCACCATGGTATTACGAAGCGCGTTCGCAACGCCCAAGCCACAGATGCCGACCACTAAAGACTGCAAATCTTGTTCAATGTCTGGAATCAACAGTACATCACGCGAATTTGTTTTAATTACAGTTGTATTGTTTATGTTCTGTCCTCCCGTGACTTCCCCAGGTCTTTAACATGTCTGTAATATTTGTTTTTTAAATAAAAATAAGGTCTGGAGACATTTCACATCACTGTTATTATCTGGTTGATATTGGCATACTTTATTATCAGTGTTCATGTTATCATGTTGTTTCTATTATTTGTTTTTCCACAATGTAAAGGTTTTCCCATCAGCTTGGAAATGTGCAGGCATTCAATCGTCTCTGTGTCTTATTTTGTTTAAAGCCTTTGTATAGTCAATGTAGCAAAGATGAATTTTTTTTATATGGAAACCTCCATAACTGATCTAATCAAATACACAGCCTTTGTTGTTCCCTTTACCTTGACAAACTCGTATTGTCTTGTCTTTACTGCTAGTTGCATATTCTTAACTCTTTGCTTGATGGTTCTTAGTTAAATATTTGCGATGTGATACATGATGCTATTTGCACCATGCTGATCCATTCTACGACTCATTACATGTGCGGTGTTAAAACCGACAAAATAAATGTATGCGATAGATCTTCAGTATCATATATTGTATTCGACAGTTCAGTGAACATGTCATGTTCTTCTAAAGCCCTAGACAATTCAGTTACAGTGTTGTTTGGACAAGGGGAATAAAGTGTTTGAAAATGGCATACCTATGTGTAAAAATTTCAAACACAATCATCGTCATCATGTCTCTCCACAAAGCTCGGTCCTTGGTATTTTGAATCAGTTCCAGTGTTGATTTTTCTCCAAACCAGTGTTTAAGGCCGGAAAACATCGTTTCTCTTGGTCTGCCTCTTCTACCATTGATCTTTCTAGTCATCACCATGTTCCCCAATGCCTCTCTTCTCATCACATGACTGAAGAACACTGAGTGCCTCTTTCTTATTGTTATATCTCGTTTTCTAACCTCATTAGCCGTTCAATCAGTTGTTGTTAGTTACTCGGCTGTCTACGGTGTCCAAGTAAACATACATAATACTTTACAGAAAGTTTTACTCTCTGGTTGCTTTCTACCCAGATCACTTGTTTGCCAGTACTGTGAACAGTAAGATCTATGACATGGCCAGATGCCCGCCTCGTCTCATAGCCAATTTGGCTCGTCCTGGCTGCGGTGAGTTGGCAACGAAACAAATAACTTTTTACCAACTATATAACTTATAGTTGAAACAACGTAAAGTACAAATGAATAATACATTTGCTTCTTTTAATGCTTTATATATATATATATATATATATATATATATATATATATATATATATATATATATATATATATATATATATACACACACACACACACAAATACACACACATATATAGTGCGTTCCAAATGTCTTGCCCTCACACATTAAAACATATCTTGAAAACTCCTAATGGATCAACACAAATTTTTGCATGTCACCTTAGACTTTCCATGTTCTTTTGATTTTAAAATTTCACAGGTACTGCTGTTTTTTAAAGGGCCAAATCTCTCATTAGGCGTACCCATAAAATATAGAATAGACAGTAACCGACACATAAGTGGAAACTGTTCAGTAATCAGATCTTATGTGCAGCGATGCGTTGTGATTATCTTGATAACCTAACCTGCATACAATGAAAAATTGTCTACATGTAACTCACGGGAGGCCAGTTCAACGACTGCAATATATTCAACAAAAAATTAAAGAATTTTTAAAAAATCTGACAAGGACGTGATTATTAACATGTTGCATGCTAAATGTCCAGAACTTACGCCAAACGGTTACTTCAGTTACAGATTTTTAAAATTGGGCACGACTTCGGAAAGGGGCTATAGTAATTCAGTTAGTAAAGAAGTCTTCTTCACCACCCGCACATCAGACATATGAGGCTGCACTCAGTTTGTTAACCAGTCGACACTCGTGGATTATGTGGTCAACTTCACAGGATATAACCCCACACCCACTTTAGGGCATATGACGCTAGCAGCAAATTTGTGTAGAATAATCGACACACGAAAGGTTTTCTTCTTCTTCTTCTTCTTCTTCTTCTTCTTCTTCTTCTTCTTCTTCTTCTTCTTCTTCTTCTTCTTCTTCTTCTTCTTCTTCTTCTTCTTCTTCTTTTTCTTCTTCTTCTTCTTCTTCTTCTTCTTCTTCTTCTTCTTCTTCTTCTTCTTCTTCTTCTTCTTCTTCTTCTTCTTCTTCTTCTTCTTCTTCTTCTTCTTCTTCTTCTTCTCTTCTTCTTCTTCTTCTTCTTCTTCTTCTTTTTCTTCTTCTTCTTCTTCTTCTTCTTCTTCTTCTTCTTCTTCTTCTTCTTCTTCTTCTTCTTCTTTTCTCTACTCCAGGAATGCCTCGCAGCATCATGCGAAAAAAAAGAGATCTCTGGCATGGGCCCTTCTATTCGCTTGTTATATAGTACTTGTCAGTGTCTGCGATATTTCCACGGTCCATATTCTGCGTGGTCGACATTTGACTCTGTTACCCCTGTATCTGTACAAGATTGCTCTCTGTGGTACGGCGTCTGTTGCCAGTCTTGTTACATGACCAAACCATTTGGTCTGTTCCCTATTGATTCTGTGCTGACTCTCCTCTTGATATCATCCTTCCAAAGTGGGCCTTTTTTTTTCTAAATACGCATGATCCGTAAACATTTTATTTCTGTCGTGACTATTTTCTTTCTGCCTTCTAAAGATAGTGTCTATGTTTGCTACTGATAGCCTGGCTCTGGTGAGAATATTGTGTTGAATAGTATTCTTTTAGTGTTCATTTTCCACCTGCTTGCATCAAAGGTACTGTAATTTCACGCCATCATGTGCATTGTAGCGTGTCTAAGGAGTGTAGATCTCTCCAGATCTCCACTCATGGTGTGGTTGCGTAGTTGATGACTAGTGTATACCAAATCATTCTGCAGTAAAACGAGGTCGGCTACTGTATACTTTTGCACTGTACATAGACACCAAGATCAGGGAATACATAAATGCAGCCAGAACGGTTCTGGGTTGTCCAAGCTGTATCATATGGCAACCGGTTGATTTATGAGCCCCAATGGTGTAGCGGCTAGACGCTCACCTTCCGGTCAGAATATCATAGGTTCAAATTTGTTTTCCAGCGTTGACCTTGATTCCCAGGTAGACCCAGCCTAAAATTGGTACAAGATTAGGGCACTGGAAGCAAAGGTGTGCAGCGTGATGTTGACTTCATCACTCATCGAGTTCCCGTTGGTCTACTAAAATAGGAGTCTATCACCATATGCCAGATAGGCCACTAGTATTTTCATTAGTGCTTATGTACAGGTTAATTTTGAGATTTGTTTCTTGGGAAACACATCCTATCTCAGCAAATCCTTAAAAAAAAAGCCTTTTAAGACATTAATGCTAAGTGACAGTGGGCCTGGGTGATAGAGGGCCTATTCGTGTCCTATTCAACAGGAGGCAATAGAACACTCATAAGGATAATCATAATTAATTTTGAAGACCATGATTTTCAAGAAAGTCATTTTTTCCCGCAGGCAACTACTTCCTTACCTTTTTTAGTGCCTCACTGCAGATCATACGTGTGTGTGTGTGTGTGTGCGTGTGTGTGTGTCTGCGCGCGTGTGTGTGTGTGTGTGTGTGTGTGTGTGTGTGTGTGACCGTACACTCCGGGAACCCATACATTATGTGGTTGCATGGGAATATACGGTGAACGAGTGCATACATACGTGTGAGATCGCACGAACCTGTTAATGAGAATAAATGGAATGAAGTGTGTACGCCAGCAAGAACCTCATCAGCACACACCATCCACTAGAACATGATAAGAACGTAACGGACAGGTCACCTACCAGGAACGGGACATGACTTAAAAAGTGACACGACCAGACGATATAGCGACACAATAAACAACATGCAAGACATGGAAGTGTGAGTGTCCTTACGTGTGGATGTATACGTTTTTTTTTTATGAATGTAAGTGCCTTTATAGTGCATTGGTAGACACAAATGAAAGAGTATGCATTGTGCGGAATGTCAAATAGGTATGCATACACGGATAAGTATGAAAGGAAGTGCAAACATGTAGTGTTGTCTGTGTGTATGAATGCTCGAGTGCATGTAAGCGTACACTTACTTGCGTGCGTCCATATACTTCGGGGATTCATATTCAAAACCACACCATTCAACATCATGCTTGCAACATAAACATGACTCGTGGGGCTCACAACAGAATATGCCTGACATCAAATAGGGAAAACAAGTGAATCGATACTGACAGGACTAGAACATTTAACCACCAATACCACCCCATCAGTGGGCTGATAGCAAAGGTTGGTGACGTGATAGTATAATCCTGGCTAAAGGCCACGCTAGAATCAAGCAAGACTGCAACGATGAAAAATGACTGAATGGCTTCCCGCCCCTTTTCTCCTCACCCTCCCCTACCTCTTTCAGATGTACTATGAGTTCTATCCCCAACCCCATTCCCACAGAGAGCACTTGAGTTCGGTACCCAACATACCACAACAATTCTCATCACCGAAAATATGGATCTCAAAGTGTGAGCTGGGTGCTCAGGGTATATGGTATTTCGTACATAAGAGCCTAGCTGCCAACCCAAACCTTCACAACCGGATCACACACTAACAAATGACGAACAAAACCGTTTTGAGGCTCCCCCCCCCCCCCCCCCTAAAATTTCACACACCTATCAACGACATGACTAACCCGTTCTTTTTGCAGGAAGACAACTATAAAACTAATATGGATACACGCGGAATTTTTTCACATTTCGGAACTATCCAAAATCAAAAACTGTTTTCAGTACTTTCTGGCAAAGTAAAATACTCAAAATTTTAAAACTATAAATGGTGGTCCAAAGGACGTTGTGTAGAAAAGCTCGCTCTCCTACGAAATACGCCTGGCCAAATCAGAGGGAGATGAAACCAAGAGGAAACACCAAGTAAGAAAAGGAAAGAAAGCACAGCTAACAAGATGCTGGAGGACGAGCGGTCCGACTCTGAATGAAGCATTAAGCCTAGAAACGGCGCAAATAACATCAGTTTAATCACGAAAGTGATGCAAATAACCCAGACCACAAATATAGGCGGAGTCTGTTAGTAGCCTCGGCTAGCTAGCAGCAGTCTGAGACTACTCGACCTTTTAATTTTTTTCTCAAAAGGAATCGGAATCAGAAGATTATACGCCATAATTTCACGATTTCTCGAGGGCTCGTTTCTCGTAGTGGGTGGCTATAAAGAAAATCGTTCTTGTGGTTGTCGGACACGGACAATGTACTAGAGTGGCACCGTGAAAGAGTTTGGAGCTACAACACAATATATTCCCAGTAAAGCTTCATCGTCGAGACGACCCAGAAATTAAAATTGAATCTCAGTACAGTTAACAGTCACCGTAGCACTGCAACGATCGCGTAAAAAGAAAAACAGATTCGACTCTTTCAGATCACAAGACAATCACAAGACAATCAGTGAACTCAGGCTCAGATTCTTGGACAAGGATCAAAGAACAGAGTTGGCTAATATTACACTCCACCACCTAATGATGGCTTTGGTCGGGGGGGGGGGGGGGGGGGGGGTTTCAGGAGTTCGGTGCAGCTGTCCAAGTGACTATGCAAGCGAAAGACATCGCAAAAAAATTTGTAAGTATTGGCCACTAGGTGCAAATATCACAATTTCTCTGTAAACGGACACGAACACAATTGGGTCGCATGGGAACAAGAGAATGCAGTATTATATTAACACGTATGAATTAAGGTGAAATTGTGAAATAGTTGTTCTCAGTATTTTGCCAATGATGAAAGAAATATTTTTTTTATATACTATTTTATTTTTATCACTGGTTGGCATAAATTCAACTGGACACTGACAGAGCTTTCGTACTGTTTTGTTTTTTTTTTTTGTTGCTGTTGTTGTTGATGATGATCTTTAATAGCTACTTTGTTCATTGTAGTCCATGTGTATTCTGGGTGCAGAGATATATATAAATAATTACATGTCTTACAATAAATCAGTAGCCCAGTGTTTTCCAACTTTTTTGTTTTGTTTGTTCCATGCCCCATCTGAGCCTTTCTTAAATTGTTATGCCCCTTATATAACTTAAACACTTGATGGGTCCATTTTCGAACTGTCCCCCTTAAAAATTAATGTCTTTGTGCATTTACTCTCATCTAACAGCAAGTAAATACCAGTGTGGCCGAATTACAAGCTTACGACGGTATCCTGCAAGTGATTACCTTCTGGCACTTGATACATTCAGAGGATTGTTCATTGTCAATCCTATAACCGGTAGGTTTGTGGTCATTTTATTTATGAAACGTCGGTTCAAGTAACGATTCCGGGCCCAAATAGAGCGTAATTGTGCTTTCTTTGATGTTTGGTAACCTTTCACACGCGCTAGTCTAAGTCAGGTGGGAATCACGTTGGGAACACACACACACACACACACACACACGTTGGGAACACACACACACATATACACATATATATATATATATATATATATAGGGAGTCCTGTGAGCGGCCAGGCACACGGTGTGTTTTGCTTGTTGTTCTGAGCGTCTGTTGTTTGCTATCTGAATTACACGCTAATCAGCACACTTCTAAGTGTCTATAATATAATTTTCGCTCCCCACACTCTCGAATCAGGACTCGACGACAGTAGTTCCGTCATACACTGGATTTATTCAACAGAACACAAACCCTCACATCAACAAAACTGTAGAGACGTAGACATTGATCCTAATTGGCATTCGAACATAGTCCATATAGTCCTCACCCGCTCTCTCTTTAACCTGTAACGTCATCTCCCTGACCACTACATCTCTGAAGGTCTACAGCGTCCTACAACTCTGTGATTGCCGAACAGGACGAACTCTCCTATCCACTGGAACTTGATATTATTTTAGCAGAAGACAACGGCTGACTGGAGACGGACTTCACTTGCCCGTTCTCCAAAGCACACAGCTCGTCAGCCTGTCGAAGGACTCTGATGACCGACAGGACTTCTAACACAAGTCCCCGCTAGCACACAGCTCTCGTCGGCATCTCTGCTGTTCTGTTTCCGTGGTGACCCTAGTCTCCTTGCACCGTCCCCCAGAACAGTCACTACTGGAGCATCCAGTCCCCTTGGACTTACTTCGCCAGCGCGTCTATACCTTCGACCAGTACTGCAACCACAACCCTTACTCCTTGATGCCTGATAGTTACGGTACTCTGTCTGCCTCACTCGAAAGATGGTTGGCCGACTCTGACTTAGTCTCTCTCTCTCTCTCTCTCTCTCTCTCTCTCTCTCTCTCTGTCTTGGACTCTGACGGACTCGGACTGACTACGCAGCCCTATTATATCTCTGCGAACCCATGTGGGCGGCTGATGTTACGAGAGGCACGCTCGTGTGGGCGTTCTCGAGACTCACTCGGGGGGTGGCTGATGTTACTTGAGATTCATGCTGTCACGTATTTCACATTTTCTTGGTTTGTCTCGTTAGCCATGCTTGTCAGCCCCCACACAGTGAACCCCCGCATCTACTTCCACGTGTGTGCACGCCTCGTTCGTGATAGTACATTCTCACTCGTCAACATTCTCTCCCCCTCACTACTCGAGCCAATGTTGACTCTTTTCCCCCTGAACTCCCATAAAGTGCTATAATACCACTATGTCCTTTCACACACGATTACACTCTCCCAAATCAGCACGCTACAGCGTCCGGCGACATTGCGTATATTCTAGCTTTCTCGGACTTTAAGTAGGCTGCAGTCTCTCGTAGAACGTAGGCTAAAGCTGTTTGGTGGGGGTTAGGGCCAGTTCTAGATCTTCAGGGATCGTTAAAAGCGGTCACATCCTGTATTTAGAGCAAGCGTCATCACGGTGAGAGTGTCAAAGACAATATAACCTGACACCGCTGTAACAGAGAGTCGCGGATGTGAAAGTCATGAAGCATGAATGAACTGTCAATCACAGTATTCCTGGGGCCGGAATAGTTAGCTGTAACCAAATGATAAGCAACATGTTAGCTACATACTTTAACTGAACACACACACAAAATTAAAAAAAAAAAAAAATATCTATGACTTGAAAGCTCAACGGCGGGATATTAGAGTACAGTTACATTTCAGTGTTTCACCCAGTCTTTGCCAGAGAGTAAAACAACATATTCCACACATCGCATGTGTGTCAACGATCTTGGGCTAAGACACGCATTGCGGGGAATACCAACCTTATCCCGGAAAAGAAGGTGCAACCTGAAAACTGCATGTTATGGCAGGGCAGACCAGGCCCTTAGCTTTGGTTGACAGCTGCTCGCGGACAGAAGCTACGACAGGCTGATAGGGAGTGCTCTGGTCTTTTGATCTGGTAGTTTCTTCAGCGTGCTCTATTGCAAACGTATTGGTGTTATGTTTACTTTGGAGTCAACAAAGCAGGCCAAGACGGGTATCACGATGCAAAAGCTACTATAATCTCTATAAAACTGCTCCAGTCTTTGTGCTGTGGAAGGAGGAATTCCATCACTTGCCTCAACTTATATCGCGATGGGCTGTAATTCCTCACTTCAACCCCCTCCCCCCCCCCGCCCCCCGCCCCCTAATCCTCGACCCCTGAACTAAACTTGTGAACCGTAGTGAATGAAATGAATCTACGACCTTCAGAGCGGGAGGTAAACAGCTCGTCAAGGAGGACCATAATCATGTAAGAGATTTCATGACCATTGCTGTCATTCATGCGTTTGCCATTTTTCCTATCAAATGCTCATATCTGATCATGTCTTAAACCAATTTTGCCCCTGTGTCTATTCCCTTTCTGATTTCACACCTTCGTGAATGTGACCCATGGAATCAATGTTCTTATAAATCCACCTCATTACATGTATCCTTCATGCCCCACTTGCACACATATGTAAATGGTAGTAGAGGCTGACCCCGACAAAATCTACCCAACTGTTAATGACCATAGAGGACGTCTTCAGGGACTCTAGCGTCCTCCGTCCTTGGACTGAATTAATGCCATTTGAACCTTTGAAGATGCAAATGAAACAAGTTAGTTTCGTATCCTTACTCGAACCAATGCCAGCTTTTAAAAAATTTGCCTAGGTAAATTTACGTTCAGTGTTTCATTGCTCACTGACTGCCAACTCTCGTTACCACAGACGAAACCAACACAATACGGTCTGCCAACTCGACTGCAGATGGGATCGAACCTGGCAATACGTCATTTCTAATCGCGTTCGCAACGCCTAGGCCACAGACGTTCCATCTATCTTCTTTTACCCCACTAGGACATCACAAAGCGATAAACACCAGATGACACAAAGTGTCACCACGTGCTTGAGGATCACCCGTGGAGAGATCCCGGAAACCGCGTTCAGCCATTAGACCATATTTATGGACGGGCTATATTGCGGCCGCTGGCAAGAGCCATGGTGGGGCGTTAAAATAACGAAAAATTACATCCCACAAGGGCATGCCTAGATAATGCCCCAAACGCTGACTCTGGGAGACAAGTGATGAGATAAATCACAACAGTGAGTCAGTGATCACTAAATTAACATAATTAAAGTTGACCAACGTCATACGCTCTTACTGTCAATATTTATTTGGTTTTCACTTCCTACTGATTATTAACACAGCGGTTTAAATGTGCAGAACACAGTCACACGTCAATGTTGCTTCTTGTGAAAGTCCACGCCTGTGGCATGGGTAATTAACTCAAGACGTGTCCAAAGAATATAGATTGTGTCCCTTTATGCAGTTATGGAGAATAAACCTGTTAGTGGTTCTCATCATCACAGCACTCCGGACAGATTCATAGATTGGTTTTGATGGCCTCCACAAAAATTTTCACTAATCATCTAACTGTCAGTTATTCACTTCCCTATATCAGTATTGGCACTGTTTAGCTCCTGATAGCTCTATTCTTCACCTCAAATGAGAAAGAACAGTGCATAGAATATTGTTCATTTTGTGAAATGCTACCAATGCTTGGGCTATTCTGCGTTAAACATCTTTTAAAATCTTTCTATTTGCTGCTGTATCATGGTACTCAAATTCTTAAATGTATCGATTTGTTTCAGAATTGTTCAAGTTACTTTTGTTTTTGTGCTATTCAGATTAAGATTCCTTGCTTACAGTTGTATACTGAAAAATTACCTGTCTGTTCAGGAGGCTTTCGACTATTATACTCAACCAACACGCCCGTCAATGGGAGGCGACCCGTACACTTGAACGACATGGTTGTGACTTCATCTGGTGTGGTCATCCTGAGTGATTCTAGCGATGTCTATAATGTTGACTATGATATATACATCTGTATGGACGGGCGACCTACTGGCAGGTTTGTGTGTTGCATTTTTGTTCACCAACTGTCGATATGTTGATCCGATGTCTCTGACTCTTTGCAACTAAAGCTTGCTACTTGATAAGTCAGCATTATAATGATCTACTAGATAAGTCAGCACTATAATGATCTACTTGATAAGTCAGCATTATAATGATCTACTTGATAAGAGATTTATAATGATCTACTTGATAAGTTAGATAAGTCTTGATAGCATTATAATGATTTTACTAAGCATTATGTAATTATCTATAATAATGATCGTCCTTGATAAGTCAGCACTATAATGATCTACTTGATAAGTCAGCATTATAATGATCTACTTGATAAGAGATTTATAATGATCTACTTGATAAGTAGGCCGGCGTAATGCTGACCACACTACCCACAGAGTGCTGATGGTCTGTAAAAATATGGGACGCTCTGCCCATATGCCCGATGCGCCGAAAGGCGTGAAAAGGGATCTTTACTTTTCTTTACTTACTTGATAAGTTAGCATTATAATGATCTACTTGATATGTCAGCATTATAATGATCTACTTGATAAGTCAAATCAGCATTATAATGATCTACTTGATAAGTCAGCATTATAATGATCGGCTTGATAAGTCAGCATTATAATGATCTACTTGATAAGTCAGCATTATAATGACCCACTTGATAAGTCAGCATTATAAGGATCTATTTATATTTGATGCTGATAAGGGTCTGTAAAAATTGATAAGGCAACATTTATTAGATCTACTTGATATAAGGCATTATTATAATGTTTAACGTATACTAAGCCTATCCGACGTCCATTTTGTTGGATATTAAAAGGCGTTAGGAGAATAATTTAGCGAGGTTCCTGGGATTTAACTGGGATTCTTCTTTGCGTCACATAACTTACTTGATAAGTTTTTTCAGCTTTTTTGTTGGTTTTTATAATGATCTACTTGATATTGTATCAGCATATAAACGTTTGATCTACTTGATAAGTCAAATCAGCTTTAATGTTATCAGTATGTCCTTCTTGGGATCCTCTACTTTGATAAGTCAGCCCATGTATAATGATCGGCTTGATAAGTCATCCTGTGTAAAAACCCATAATAATGATCTACTTGATAAGTTAGCATATTTGGGGTTATTGAATCTACATGAAAAGTCAGCATTACAATCAGGAGAAAAACTATCTACAGAGGGATAAGTCAGCTATTATAATGACCCACTTGATAAGTCAGCATTATAAGGATCTATTTGATACAGGCAACAAATGATAAAGGATCTATTTACATAAGTCAAACATTATAAGGCAACTTAAAAATTTTGATCTACTTGAATGATAAGGCAACATTTTTAGGATCTAGGAGGTAATTGATATGGAGCAGTTGGCAATTTTGTATAAGGAGTAGGTTTTTTGATGTTTCCCTCATAAAAATACACGAGGCTACATGGGAATCACCCAGACATAGACAACTAAATCAAATTGACCAACATATGCTAGATCATCCGTACGATGTTAGTTGGGGTGCCGAATTTTGTTGGATAGTATTACAGCCATCTTAATAATCGCGGCTGGACTTAAGGATAACTTCTAATTAAACCGTTAGGAGCCCAGAAGTCTGCTGGGATCGAGATCAAAATCTAATCTTAGAAGTTCTTGAGAAAGGAACAATAAAGAGGTTTCTGGATTTGATTGGGATATAGCTAAAAACTAGAGCTGCATCCAAGGAAAGATGTAGGAAGTTGCTCTATTGCGTCACAGTGAAAAAATCTTAATGGCTCAGTGCGGGCTCCTAAGTAACACAAGAAAATTAGTAGGAGTATAGTCAGCCACTTTTCAAAAATTCAGGAAATGGGTACTTACTCACTCGCTTGTGGACAGATTTTGTTATTTTGAAATGCTTCTTATCCAGCCTTTAGAAATGAAACTGGATATCAAATGTGAGCTACCATCCAAAGAGGAAATTAGATCTTCTTTAGGAAGGAAAGGCGTCAGTCCCAGATGGTATCACAGCTGAAGCCATCAGGACAATAAACACATCAAAAGAATTGCTACATCGGTAAAAGTCTGAGAGAATACCCAGCGAGAATGGAGAGAAGGATATCTTGTGAAAACTGCCCAAAAAGGTGATTACAGGAGTGTGAAAACTATCAGAGGGAATTATGTTGCTGTCAACTGGAAAAATATAAGTGAAAGATGAAAAGATGCTATTTGATAAAATGCTAAGAGATGAGCAGGCAGGTTTGCGGTCAAACAGATCCGGTACTGATCAGATAGCCACATTACGTATTATAATAGAGCAAAGATTGAACTGAACTCAGGACTATTGAAAAAGTCATTTGACAGCATTGATGTCTCTGGAATTTGATGGGGCACTATGAGTCCACAGAAAATTATCAATTTAGTAAAGGCAACATATAAAGACATGAAATGTCGAGTCATGAGGGGAAAGCTAACAGATGCATTTGAAATTATGTCCCTCTCATATTGTTTACTGCTATAGACTGGACTATGAAAAAAGTAGCTGCTCAAGAATGGAAGTCAGTGGGCCCCTACAAAAACAGCTTGATGATCTGCCCTTCTGTCCCCTCACGGAATCTAGATACAAGATAAAATTAAATATACTCAACGAGATCATTCACAGCAGCTTGGTCATCCATAAAGGAAAGACAAAGGATAATGCATGTCTGGCGAATATTAATGTGGTTTCTCTTAAGTAACCCACTCCAAGACGTGGAGTCGTATACACCTATGTGGGCGTAAATGTAGATAAAGATGGAGAAACTGATAGAGTATTAAAATAAGAAATACAAAAGACAAGAGGGGTTCTAGGGAATTTGTGGAGGTCACAAGAAATTAAAAGAAATGCAAACTAAAAACATGGAGCACAATCGAAGGCAATTACTAATAAATTACAGACATTTGGTGCCTGCGCAAATAGGCGTATGATCAGAATAAAATAATGTAGAAATTGGGAGCAGAACTAAACAGGCTCCAGTGGATCAGGAGGTCACGCTGGCGTTGATAGGGTATGAGAAAAACAGGAGAAACAGCATAACTAGAATGTCTTTGCATTGAAACCCACAGTGGCCAGATAGGCATCTCACATGCGGGAGCCTGTAAATGGCGAAGGGATAGAACACTTGTGCGTGAGTTGGTTGAGGGCCTATGCGCCATTGGGGGATAAAAAGGCAGAAGAAAATCAGTGTTGGTGATTATTGTGGCTGCATTGTAATGAGACGACCGAACCATCTGATCTATACTTTTCAACGCATTTTGTGCATGGCGTTTTTCCAGCAGTCATTTTGATAGTATCATTTATTACTTGGCCTCAATAGCTACAAGAATAGCTTGGCATAGTATAAGGATCCTAATATTTAGCTGTCAACAACATCAAGCGCCCTGCCGACTGAGCGATCATGCCTTTTTACAATCTGCGATCTGCAACTGCGTTATTCAGTACATCTGTTGACACCCCTAAATACAATGACAAAAGGCTGTCAAGCATCTTTTTGCGTTGTCTTCCTCCGCGTCTCTTTCCACAAATACTGCCAGTGGTCACAACATGTTCTAGTTTCCCTCTTCTTATAACATGGCGAAAACATCACGACTGTCTTTTTCTGATGTTTCTGATAAATTGTCTTCGAGTCCTCGCCTCGTGAAAAACGTATGGCTTGTTTTTTTTGGCTGTAAAGGAATTATAAAAGATCTTCTGTAAAATCACATCTGTTTTTATATCACTGTGATTCATCTTCCGTTATCCATGTGCATAGACACTTACATTTTTGTACTCGTTCTAAAATAACAATTTTGACTCCTATTATGTATTTAGGTACTCTTTATTTCTTTAATGTTATCATTAGTTTTGTCTTCCCAATATTTAAGCTGAGGTCCGTTTTATCACTTTCTACCACCACTGTATGTATCAGGCGCTGTAGTTCTTTCTGACTTGACGTTGTCAAGACTGTGTCGTCAGCATGATGTGGGTTGTTTATGCTATTACCACCAAACACAATTCCTGGCATATCCGTGATAGATCGCATAATTATATAGTCACTGTATAATGAAAACAAATCAGGCGATAGTACTTATCCTTGTCTTACTCCTCTCTTCATACTCAGAAATACTCCCAAATTCTTATAGTTGCAGTTTTCTACCAATACATGTTTTTTATCATTCTTACATCTTTCTCATAATTATTTAAATTTTCCAAAAGATTAGTTATTCCTTCATGTTTCACAGATCAGATGTTTTCGTATATTTAGTGAAGCATAGGTGAAGATTCCTTTTTTTAATAGTTACGAACAACCTAGTGGAGGCTGCCAATTATATATGTAATTTTTCCGCTCTGACACAGCACAACCACAATACTACGAGAAACAAAAAGTATCCTTTTTTGGGGAGAAATGCGCACAAAATAGCAGTTCATGATAAGGGAACATAACATTTCGTGAGAAATCACCGGCAAAGAAAAATATAACTGCCGCTTATCGCCATTTTTAAAACGGAAAACCTGATGAAAGATGATTTGATAGTTTGATTGATATCTTTGTATTGCGTTTTTTTTTCTCTTTATTGTTGTTATTATTATTATTATTTTTTATTTTAAAAGATAATTCTGCTTGACATAATCATAGAAGAAAATGCATTAGAAGAAAACTGAATTTGTAAAAAGAAAGAAAGGCATCGTTTGAGGCCCTTGCAGATTGTGTGGGCCTAAGCTGTTTCTTATTTAACACATACCTTAATCCAACAGTGCTCGGGAATAGAATGAGGAGCTCGGTCTCCCTAAACATATGTTATGGAAAAGGGGGCAGGGGGATTAAGAGGCGAAATTCCTGTCTAAATGTGCACTAACAATGACGCGCGCCATCGGGTAAATACATCCCACACTTGCCAAGTATCTAAGGGATTTTTTTTTATAAATAGCTGTCCTCCACACACCCACGATTTCCTCAGCTCACGAACCATGGCATTCCACTTTCATTTGCACGGCACCTGCTGATGGTGATTATTACTGCAGTAAAGGAGGGTCAAACAAAAAGCGGCACCACAATAAACCAGCCACACGAAACAAATTAGCATCCACAATAAATCTGACACGTGTTACATGTTCTGTCGTAACAACGAGTTTTATCTAAGAACGCTGTATTATTTTTTATACACTACAGCAAGTATGATCTTATAGTGCGATCACTGTCTTTACTATGAACGAACACTCTGCGACAACGATGAAACTTGTGATCGATGACTTACTGTCAAATCTACAACTGCGTGCCATTAGCAGTCTAAACAACATGGACAAAACTGGCTGTGAACTATGTCCAGGTGCCTGTTACGGGCACTGCTATGTGCAGTGATAGTTCTCTGATGGTTTTTTGTCAGAGAGACCCAGCCACCCGAGGGCCCAAGGTAGATGCACCACTTGGTGAATAGAATCTAGACCTTCAGTCAGCTACCCAGTCACTCATTAAAGTATCACTGATCATCCTCGAGTTAATCAGCATTCCTGATAACTCCCCATTGCAACTCCACGCTGGTCAACACATAAAAATGTACCACAGTACCTTCTGTAGTACATACAGACACCCCGTCAACCAGTTTGCCACATAGCTACAACTTTGCCGACCTCACACACGTGGACGAAACAAGTCCCTTCTGGAAAATCAATCAGACAGCATTTCGAAGAATAACTGATGATCCACCACATTCACTGGATAGATTACGCGCACACGTCCATACATTATACTGACTAAAAGCGACAGAATTTAGTACCAAGTACTCCCGCCAACAGCGATCAGCAACACGTGGATCTCATATTCTCCACTCAATTTGAGGATATTTGCAGTCAAACAACCTCTGTTTCACAACTTTATGTGGCTCAAATGTTGACATTCACAACCCGTTAACACAACATGATTTCCCTAGTTTACCAATGCTTCACAACGCCCTGTCTTTTTTTTTTTTTAACTCTTTACACTCTACAGTGACTTTCGTATACAACAAATAATAATAATAGTAATCATAATAACCATAACAAATTAATAATAGTAATAAAAAAGTAAACGTCTTTCAGGCGTATTGGGTGTATAGGGCTGAACCTATATTTTATAAACCAAACGAAACTTATTGGGTGATGTGGTCAGCTTCACGCCGGCCGCATTTACTTCTTAGGACTGTACCTTGTACCCACTCAGGCTCGGTCGATCTGGGAGCCAAAATCATTTTCGAAAAAAGTCCCCGGAAGGAACTGAACCTACGACCTTTCTATCCTCAGGCGAGCGTCTACTCGCTATAATAATAGTGATAATAATAATATGCTAAATCTCAAAAAATATAATAGGATATTTGAACAAACTATAAAAATGTATAAACAGAAGCTTCATAAAAGAGATTCTATTCACGGCTTGAGAGAAATAGTTTGTGAGGAAAGAGAAAGGGGGGGGGGCTGAGCACCCTAATATTTTGTGTAAGGAGAGGGGCATTAGGTGCGAAAAGTGCTATCGCTTCTGTCTTTAGAATTAAAAAAAAAAAATACAAAATACTCATTACTGAGGACTAAAATATTGACCGTAAGGTAGGTAGGTAGTTGTACCCCACTAGGACATCACACAAGCGATAAACACCTAGTGACACAAAGTGCTACCATGCGGATGAGGATCACATTGACCGTAAGTAAATGTATTCTATCTACTTTACTACTATGGCTATGTTTTCTGTGAACGTAAACTGTTTAGTTCTTCATCAAAAACTCTGTTGTTATAAATGTGTGTGTGTCTATCATCACATGACAGGATGCTAGCTTTTGACCTACCCACAGGACGAATGACTGAAGTTCTGTCAGGACTCTTTAACTTCCCGAATGGACTCGAACTCACGCCAGATGGAGACTTGCTAGTTGGGGAAACCTGTCGGGCGAGAATACACAGGTGGTAATAGTAGTAATAGCAACGGCAGCAGTATTTATAGTATTGGTAGTTAGGTAGTAGTAGTAGTAGTTAGGTTGTGGTGGTAGAAGAAGTAGTTGAAACTACAATATTATGTTTATCTTATCCGGGTTATTATGTGTGTATGTAGTAAGTATATATATATATATATATATTATAATATATATGAAACTACATATATACGCACTCTGAAATAAAATGTTTGAGGCGTTGGCTCGTATTGGTCTAAGGGAGATCCCGGAGTCAGGGTAGGGCACTCAAGCTCTGGCACTACAGAATATTGAGTATTCCTAGGCACACTTGGCTGGACACCCCCAATACTATAAAAAGATAGCCCCTAGGTTATGATAGTATACTATTATAGCCATGTTAACAGAGATTACACTTACTAATCACACAAACATAAAAGCTCAACAGTTAGAATGGTGAAACAGGGACACCCAAGTCAGCCATGAAAATTTCTGAAAAAGGTTGTAATAATTTCAACACACACACACACACACACACACACACATATATATATATATATATATATATATATATATATATATATATATATATATATATATATATATATATATACATATCAAGACAATCAGGATGGTTTCCAGTAAATGGAGTAAGGACTCAAACTCACAGCGATGGTGTGGAAACAGCCAATTACAGTTCTGAGAATATATGAATCATTTCATGTAAACCAAAGGTAGCCATGTAAAGAGAGCATGTATGTCATCTCAGATTTTACTTAACCAATCTGGTAGGTCACTGCTCCCCTCAGTCCAGGGTGATTTGAACCGGCTGACTCAATAGATCGCTTTTCCTCTGGTTGACCTGGTAAACACTGATCGTCTCACATATGAGGACAACGGAACTGCACTGGAGCCCCTAACCTGAAGAAGGCTTCCTTGGATTGATGACACAGGTGGTCTGCAAAACTGTCTCCCAGCCACTAGAACTCACACACAAGCTCCTGAAGAAGGATTCCTTGGATTGCTGACACAGGTGGCCTGCAATACTGTCTCTCAGCCACTGGAACTCACACACAAGCTCCTGCCATGTTGAAGTTCTGCCAACAATAGGTAGGGTTTTGGGTAGGTTTTTGGTGATAGGGATGGTATGGGTTGGTGATTGTTGGTTGGACTGTGATTCATCTGCCTGACTTCCAAGGAGATATCATCCTGTCAGGAAAGAACTCAGAATTAGTAATCATCTTAAGATGCATACACCAGCTCAACTTATCTTCCGCTACCCTTCTCGGTCAATCAGAGTATACTCTCAAGAACAGGAGACAATGTCCCCTTCATTTATCTGTCTGTAAGTCAGTAACCACATAGAAGACAAGGTACATAGTGGAGATAGATAGACACTACTACACATAGATCATCCTCTCTCCACCTTCCCATCTGCACCCGCAGACATACATTCTATCTCGTTCGTACATGTACATATCTCCACAATCTGCCCACTATACACCCAATGTTGTCGTGCTAAAGTTAACCTTTGACTCAGAGCGCCTAGCTCTGACGTCATAGCATCTAGCCGGTTGAAGGCTGACCCAGTTTACATATGTCTGCTAGTCGACACAACTCCGTTGTCTGGTTAGAGAATAATTAACTTGTTGGGTTTAATATCTTTACAATGTTGTGTGTCATGCACGGCACAAACTAGTTAGCCTATGAAGGGAAAGGTTTGATTTAAGGCCTGGAGTGTCTGGATATCAAGAACGGCCCAGTTCTGTGCGATCACACAGCTGAATCTTCTCTTCCTGCAGCAGTGTCCAACTTTAAAGAGACATATATCATTGTACTCGTAAACTATAATCAACTTACCCTAGCTTAGAAATCCTTCAAACATTAAACTTGTACTTTGAAAGCGCCCAAGTTAATAAGAGAATTAAAACGTCTCCCGACACCTAAGAGGTCTGGCAAAAGAATGCCCGCCCCAGACTCCGCTTGGCGTCTCTAGAAAAGAAGTCCTGTATTCGTGTCGAAGGAGTAAAAAGGCTTACAGGAATTTCAGAATAATTTTCAAGAGATATCTATCCCACAGTTGCAAGTTTGAAAATGTTGACTTCTTAAAACAACTAGAGGGTCTAGAAATGTTTATTTCACCAGATAGTGGTATATATTAATATGAGGGACTATATACCCCCCCCCCCCCCCAAGTACGGGTTTAAATTTGAAATGTGACCTGCCCGCTAGGGATATCAACGTCACGACTCGTCCACGATGTAGGGTTGGCTGCTCACTCCACGACAATATATATATATATATATATATATATATATATATATATATATCTGAACATCAAGGAAGATTGGCTAATAAACAGCATCCTTTCTCGAAAGCATTAATATTTTGGTCACATCAAGCGCCACGACGGATTGGAAAAAACTGTAACAGAAGGCATGGTACCAGGAAGGAGGGGCAGGGGCCGACCGACACGAAGATGGGCACAGGATATAAGTGACTCCTTGAGTGTGAAAGTGCATGAGGCGGGAGAACTGGCGAGGGATCAAGTTTCTTTCAGGCAGACTGTGATGAGAGCGACGTTCTGCAAGGACCTGCTTCATGATGATGATGAGTTTGCCATTGCTTCCTGGACGGTCCGCCCCCTGATACCACTGTCGAAACCAACGCAAGGCGCATGGCCCGCAGCTGGGATCGAACCCGGCACCCCGGCATTACGAAGCGTTCGCTTCGACTAAGCCACAGAGCCGACATATATATATATATGTAATATTCCAATTATTTTTTATTTGATGTTTATGGCTATTAATTTCGTTTGGCTACTTACTCAATATTGTATGACTTGACTGTCAGTTGTATAATACAGTAGAAGTACAGATTGCCAAGTTAAAAATTATAAGTGTGCTTTCAAACAGTTGTTGTAATTATATTGTAAGCAAAGTAATGGACTACTTATCATGCCTTTTGGCCAATTGGACGTATAGGGTTAGGCATATAGTTTATAGACCAACTGGCACTCTGTTGGTGATGTAGTCAACACCACACCTGTCGTCTTTACTTTCCAGGACTTTACTTGGTACCCATTTAATGTTGAGTCGACCTGGGAGACTTTGGTCATTTTAAAAAAAAGTTAGGTTTGATCAGGATCTGAACCCACGACCTTCGGATCTTTCTAACCTGACTGTATTACTTGATTTTGACAAGCACGTTCTTACTCTAATAGATGCATTGGTTAACTGGATTGACATTACATCTACATTTACGACATTCTACATTTATGCTCCAATAACTGACTTGTTGTATGCAAGAATCAGCTCAGTGAACGAACTCTATAGCAACTGACTGGGCACATACAATAGGTACCTGTATATAAGAATAAGTTAGTTATCCTTTACTTCTGTTACATGTGGTGCCGGAGAAATGAACAGACCTAAAATTGTTCTGTAACATTTAGTGCGGTGGAAATGAATTAGCCTCAGATTGTTCTGTTACATTTGGCGCTGAAGAAATATACTGTTGAACATTGGGATCAACATAGCACAGAACACTAGGTTAAAAACCCACAGAACACTAGAATCAACAAAGCACAGAACACTAGTATAAACATAACTTAGAACACCTGGATCAACACCTCACAGGACACTCGGATCTATAATTCACCGAATACTAGGATCAACAACTCAAAGAACGCGAGGATCAACAAATCTCTTGGAAAATTACCAAGCATACAGACACTGTTATCCGAACTAGGCAACCGCTGTAAATTAGTAATGCAGTGGATACCTTCCCACTGTGGAGTTCCCGGAAACGAAAAAGCTGATAAACTAGCTAAGGAAGGTGCAACTGAAGAACAACCTGACATACCAGTCTCTTATCAACAGAAGAAGAGAATGATCAAATCAATCAGAATGCCACCGAAACTGGCACAAGATGATTACCATATTATGGACAGACCAGAGCAAGTCATTATCCTTCGCCTTAGAACAGGGCACAATCGACTTCGCTCCCACATGTACAACAAATTTAAGATTGGCCAATCAGCCATGTGTACTTGTGGACTGGCACCTGAAACAACAGATCACATCCTTCAAGACTGTCCCAGATTCAACGCTTTCAGGCAAAACCTTTGGCCAAAAGAGACACTTGTGGAAGTCAAACTTTACGGGCCGCTTAGTGAATTACAAAAGACAGTGAAATTCATACTAGAGACAGCTTTGCAGATATAGACAATTTATTTCATGCGAACGAAAGAAGAAGAAGAACAAATCTCGGATACTGGCATAAACATAGTTTAATGACGCTATAAATAGGTATAACTTAATGGGTTGACTGATTGACAGAATTGCGGAAATCCTTAGAGTAACAGACATGAGATCAATGTGGAAATGGTAAAACACAAGATTGTTGAACTCACATGTGAACAAAAAATAAGGGGGAATCACTGACAAGTGAGGATTCTGTCGCAGGACCCCAGATAATTCGGAGTGAAAGTCAACCCAAAGAGAAACGACGTGATTGTAGTGAAGCCATGTTGAAATGTATCTGGGGACAATGAGTGTGTCCTACTGACTGTTGATTGTGCTGACCGTGTGCAAGTCCATGTCGACCGTGGCATGACTGTATACCCAAAGGTATAAGCAAGTGAACCTTGCCTGGATGGCCTAAGTAAAGTTGTTATGTTCGTATTTGTCGCTGATATGATATTGAATGGCACTGAATAAAGCTGGAACTTACAACAACCATCGTCAACTGTCCTTCGGACACGTGTGGTAGTTTGTTGGGAGAGACGTCTGCCTCGTCTAGTCTGACCCCCTAGACAGCCTGAAAGATTGTGTACCAGCGAAAGTAAGTACGAGAGAGACCCAGTACAAAAGGAGTACAGACTTCTTTACACATAGCATATAACTCTAAAATCAACAAAGCACAGACACAAGGATCAACCTAGACAGAACGCCTTATCAACAAAGCATAGAGCACTAGGATCAACAGAGCACAGAACAATATGATCAACAAGGCACGGAGCACTAGGATCAACATCGCACAGAACACTAGGATCAACCTAGCGCAGAACACTAGGATCAACGCAGCACAGAACAATAGGATCAACAAAGCACAGAGCACTATGATCAACATAGCACAAAACACTAAGATCGACATAGAACATAACACTAGGATCAACATAGCACAGAACACTAGAATCAGCATGGCGCACAGAACACTAGGATCAACATTGAATGGAACACTGGGATAAACAAAGCACGAGACACGAGCGTCTTGCCTCACCATAGTCCATGATGCGTCAGCATAGTAGGGGACATTGAAATCAACCTAGAAGTGGACAGCAGAATCAACTGAATCAACATGACACAGAACACTAGTGTCTAAATAGAACTGTAGTCATGACAGGTTTGTGCAGACTTCCTAACGTCACACATCACAGAGAACTACACTCAATCAACATTTGACGGTATCTGTATCTTCTCTTCATTCAGGGTCAGTCTGAAAAGAAACTCCTGGCTCCGCGTGGATCCCTTCTCTCTCAACCTGCCCGGTTTGCCAGACAACATCCGGTCGTCAGGACGCGGCACCTACTGGGTGGCTATGTCGTATGCCAGACACTCCGGAGTCAACAATCCGGTGGATGAGAACTCTAGAGTTGCGGAATTTCGTGGAATGGGTTTTGAAGTGAGTGAGTTAATGTATGCCATGTGTATGTGTACTGGGTTTCAAGGTATAGTTGCGCCTCGGTCGGTATACGTCCGCTTTGATATACGTCCAGCTTGGTATACGTCCTGATGGGCTGCGTTTGCGCAGTCGATAGGAGACTCGCTTTTAAATCCAGCTGCGACTCGCTGCAGTCCACGGCCGGTGTTCGAAACTGGGCGGCTCCCCGGGTTCACATAGCCTCTAGGAAATGGGTACCAGAGTTAACACTCTGGAGTAAATGGAGGAATGTCGCTGTAGCTACGGAGTTTCGTGCCGACGGCGACACAATCAGACAGTTTCTTATCAGTTGTCCGTACTGGTGACAGAGCACTTATGGTTTATAACCGTGTGCAAAAACGCTGGTTCACATCTACTGACTTGACACTAGAAAAACTTTGTTTATTATGTAACCTTTGTGTGGAAAATACTCACATGCTAGAACTTGTATGAATCAAAATGAAACACAAAACCGCACGCTACCTTTGTTTTCCTTCCTCACTAATCAAGTAAATGTTTGTCAAATAGATGGATGTTAAAAACTTTTTCAGAGAAATACCACTCCGACAATGCTCCAAATTATCCGTAATAGCTTTGTCTGGAATGACCAGATGTCACATTTTTGAAATATCCCGAGAGAAGACAAAGGCAAATTTATTTGAAGATATAGTGTATGTGTGTGTTTTAACGTCAAACATGACGACCCTCAGTCGGGCCCAAACGAGATAGGGGAAAGAAATAAAACAGAAGAATCTTAGCTTCTTAAAGTTTATTGGAAGAGGCCTCTCCTTTCAAACATTTCCTCATCGTCTCCCTCCATTCTCAGCACCATCAATGTAGTCACTGGACGAATCTCAGCAAGGTCCAGTCAGATCACATTTCATTAATTTCATCTAGCTGCTTTTATGTTTATGAATTGAAGTATTAAGCAGGGTTTAAATTATTTCCTACAACACCATCAAAAGTATGATTAATAACAAAAGGAGTTATTTCTCATGGAAAAATCAGTTTGGTATACATCCTTTTTGGTATGCGTCCAATGATCTGGAACCGATCAAGGACGTATGCTGAGGTACCACTGTATTTGCATTCTTTTTGACTGACCTCAAAGATTCCTCAGGAAATTGTTTATGTTGACACAGTCCCACGAAATCGACTGGTGATTTATTTTTATTTTTATTTTATTTCTATGCCTTAGTCTTAATCTTAACAATTATAGCAGAAGGATGGTACCAGGAAGGATGGGCAGGAGCCGACCGACACGAAGATGGGCACATGATATAAGTGACTTCTTGAGTATGAAAGAACATGAGGTGGAAGACCTGGCGAGAGACCGAGTTTCTTTCAGGCAGACTGTGATGAGTGCGACGTTCTGCAAGGACCTGCTACATGATGATGATGATGATAGTCTTAATATTAGTTTTACTCAAGGTTTCAAAATCTTCGCAATCGGGTTTCACCCATATTTGCCCCATCCCGTGTCAGCGCAAATCAGATGAAATGTCCCAACGCTGTCCCATTTGAAAAACTGGTGAACAATTAGTCCTGGAACAATCCAGAAATAGGCGCAGGAAGAATATGGCAATTGCTAGAGGTTCCAAAGCCAACAGTCGCCACCAGAAATGCAGTTTGTCGTTGATGGAAGTAGTCGAGCACGATAAGTTGGCTGTACACACGTAGAATTATTAGAATTTCGGTGTATACGCATCCCGTAGCAGGTCCTTTGGAGCACGTCGCCCCTCACAACACTCAGGAAAGGTCACAGCGTCCCCTGTCACATCTGGCCTGGTGAATCTGAAGTTAGTTAGTCAATCGACAGGTCATCCCCACTGGTTATCGGACAAGTCCATGAGCGCTCGGATGCCATCTTCATTATATCCCTCAGCATGTGGCGATGTATTTGAAGAAGTAATTGAAATTAGGTTTTTGAAACTTAACTTTCTTCATGACAATGTTTACTTGTCTGTCTTCTTTAGTGGATGTCACTGAATGAGCTGAGAGACCTCTTTAGCAAATGGGGCGTTGTGGTGGAACTGGACGACACCGGAGCAATCATTGGCAGTCTACATGATCCATTAGGTAAATCTGATACATTTTTTGGGGGTGGGGGGTGTTGGTTGAACCGGGGGGGGGGAGGGGAGATTTATTTACTTATTTTAGCCAAATGGTGAGCGTGTCTAGAAGTTTCTGAAGCAGGATTGTCTGATAGTGATGGACTGGCTTTACATCCAGCACTCCTCTTTTCTCTTCCCGGCTTGGGACAGGCAATAGCGTATCGTACAGCAGTATACATACATATATAATAATGTTTCCCAAAGAATGTCCATTAAGACCAACTGACGTTCAACCCCACCAGGACCACACATCGAGCGACAGACAGCCGGCGGCACAAAGTGCCACCATTCAGATGAGAATGAGCCGGGCGCGAGTCCCAGTAACAACGTTAAACCTTATTTAGGATCCCCGACGACAGCCGGTGTGGGGCTTTAAAATAACCACACAAGCACACACACACACACACACACACACACACACACACACGCAAAATCGTGTCCCACTGGGACAGTGATATTTAGAGCATAATAATGTCCATTACTTCCTTGTTAATTTAACTCCCACTCCCCTTTTCTGTCCATAACTTTATTTGACAGATTTTCAGCTCACGATATGTACGTTCAACTTGACTCCAGCATCTGTATGTTCAAGATAACGTGGTACCCGCACTGGACTTCAGCTGACACCAGACTGGTGTAACTGTTACAGGTGCTCCAGTATAACTTCTTTGGAGCTTGAACGGGGTATCCAGGATTTGCCCTGTTGCTTGCTATCCAGACTGAGATTTCATAATCTCAGAGTGGTCAGCAGCCCGGAGGGGTGACCAGCAGAAAAAGGAACTAGATTTGGCAGTGTGTTACCGAGGCCCGTTATGAGAGAAAATGATTCAAACAATGCAACATAACTAGCATTTTATACGAAGCGGAAAAGAACGGCTAGCTACCTCATCTAAAGAAAAGTTCACATATGAACTTGCCTTGCGTAACCCTACTATATGCCCGCACCGCACCACTTGTATTCTCCATGAAATGGACAAGCCGTTTGCCTCTCACTCTGAGGGGCGTAGTTTTATTTCACGGACGGCGTCGTTTGCTTACCAGTGCCGTTTCCTCCATAGAATCCTGTAGGTCCGGTTTGATGCTACAGAGCTCATGCTTAATGAGACACTCGTTAGACAGAGGGGGAACATCCTGTTCAGTGTGTCCTTCCATCTTTCTACTTCTTTCTATAACTGCTATTTAATACATTGTTTGTCGCTAGGCAGCTGGCCATTCTGAGATGTCCCAAGCCACATGGAAAAGTTGTGTGGTGCAATGTAGTCGATCGTTTGGGGGAAAAAAACGGGGGGGGGGGGCATAATACAAATAAGTAACATTTGACTTCCTTAGCTACCATGTATCTAAATGAGGTGACTGCAATAACAATGACTTTTTTTGTTGTTGTTGTTGTTACAACATTCTTTAATATTCCTAGCAGACTGGGCAATACAAATCTTGGAGGGCTGTGTGCAGCTACAGTATCAAGTTTTAGCATGGATATTTTAAATGAACGAAACAATGTAGTTGTATTCTTAAAGTCATGTTCGAATAATTTTGCTAACCTAAACAAACAATATATAAACTGTATTAACAAATAGATGGATTCATATGTACAGAAGAACAAATTCTTGTAATAATTTACACAGAGAAGCACATATGTCTAATTTGTTAAAAAGCCTAAAGCATCCACAATATTGCCCTTGTATTCTCTTAAGACACGTTCTGCTTGTGTTCGTGATATCTCCATCTCCTGTACAATGTAATCCACATCATCCTTATTGATTTTCACTTTTGACAGCTCTTTTTCTTTTTCATGCTTTGCCTTTGCTTCTTTGTTTTGTCTGTCACTGACCACTCGCATCGCATCTTGAATATCCTGAGAAGCTATTTCTTTCTCCTCGACATAATCAGTTACTTTCTCGAGGTCTGCGGCGCCTGGATCGTGTCTGGCTACTTTTTTGCCTTTAGATTCGGATTCTGCGTCATTTTCTTCCACTTCGGTTTCCTCTAAATTTACGCATGGGGTTTCGTATGACGTTACCACAACAAGCCTTCAGCAGGAAACAACTGCAAGAAACAATATGACATGACTGACTGACTGATTTTCTACCCCACTAGGACATCACACAAGCGATAAACACCCGATGACACAAAGTGCCACCATGTGGATAAGGATCACCGTGGAGAGGTCCCAGAAACCGCGTTCAGACAATTGGCCATATTGATGGCCTGCCTATATTGCGGCCCCTGGCAAAAGCCAGAGTGGGGCTTCAAATAACAAAAAATTACATCCTGAAAAGGACGTAAAGGAGATACGTTATCTTCTCTACACAATATGACATTCAAATTTCAAATTCTCTTTCGTTGACCACTTTCAGCTAGGTCCGTTCACATTTCTGCTCACTTTCCTTTCAGCTATATTTGTGGTGACGTTTTCTGGTCTCGATCTCATTTGATTTTGGATTGTGTTCAATATTGTGACTTTCTATTTGTTGTGGTTTCCGCTCTTGCTGTTGTATTTGTAATTTGGCTGGCCCTGTGCTGCGCTCAAGATGATTGGATGTTGGATCGATTTATTGTGGTATTCCTTGGCTGTTTGTTGTTTCCGGGGAAAGTAAATTGCCTATCCTAATAAGGACCGGCGGTCGATTGACTTGGGCAGGTACTGATGGCAATACTGCTGAGGTCTGGTATTATTTGGTGATTTTCTCGTATCCTTGTTGTAAAGTACTGCTCCTACATAGGGTTTCGGTAATTTTGGCCTTAGTTGTGTCGAATCTGGTATTAGTGTTTGAGGTAACGGTGTCGACCTCGTTTGACCTCAGGTTTTGGCTGTCGATATGGTTCCTCTGGTGATGACCAAAGAACGTCATCATCTTGCAGTTCTGAGTTAAAGAAGTTCGGGTCCTCAAGCTCCCTGATGCGTTCGTTTATTTGGTCAAATGTTGCCACCGGAAACTGTTTCATTAGCGGCGTCGGATTTCTCTTATCTGGTGTTTGATGTGGCTTTTTCTGGGTCTCGGCTCCCTGTATTTGCTGCCTTCTTGTTGCCTCTTTCCGTGCTTTCTCTCTTTCTTCCATCACTCTGTTGGTTGCTTGCAGTTTCCTTATTAAGTCTGTTGTTTTTCTTCGTATGCTCTTCGTAACTTTTCCTCTGTTTCAGCTAGTGCCTTCTTGATCATTGCGACTTCTTTCGCGAGAAGTTGTTGGTTATCCCCGCAGATCATTGATGCCCGCCCTCGTCTTCCCTTGCTTTAGTTGGTTGTTCCTTTTGTGTCTGGATAGTGGCCAGTGCATTCATGATGTCCTCCTTGAATTTCGTCATCTCTGCTGTCATCCGTTTCCTGGTGTCAAGAGTCGCCCTGCATTATAGCTCTCAGGCCTGTTATTTCATCTCTGTCTTCATCTCGTTGGGGATTTGGATGCGTCTTTCTCGTCTCTGAGAGCTTGGATGTCACTTTGAGTTGAGCCACCTCGTTGCTCAATTTGGTGGTAATGGCTGCAGTTATGCCTTGGGGTTGCTTCGTGTCTTCTGCGGGCCTCATGGTATGGAATCTTTTCCCGTATGGCCGTGGTTTGCTATTTCTCTACAGTTTGCTGCAGATAGGGGCACCCCAGGTACCTGGTGCTGTGCTGGCCGTAGCAGTTGGCGCACTTCCTGTTCGTATTGGGAGACCTAAAAGTCTGTGTCCAGCTTTGCCAGCGGGCAATTGTTGAAGGCATGGGGTTGTGAACAGTATCGGCATACTTCATGTTCGCTCACACAAGTGGCCCGGGAGTGCCATGCTTTTTTGGCAACGAGAGCACTGGATCACCTGTGGTACGTATTGCTCTGGTCTTTGCATTCTTTGATCTAGGTAGACTTTATCCGGGATGTGTTTCTCCTTACGATGTTATCACCGCCACTGGCAATGGATGCCGTTTTGAGCCCAGTCTTTCTGCTTGGTTGATGTTGACATTGGGGTTTTTCTTTCCTTATTTGTTGCAGAATTTTTCTTCGTTGCTCCATTGCAGGCTGACTCTTCGGATCACCCAGCGTCTTACATTCTGGAAGATTGTGGCCAGTCACAGTTATCTCCTCGGATAGTCGGAGTTCTTTCTTGCCGTCGTGTTGGATGGTCATCCAGCATGTCTGAGGTGCGGTTGGTTTTCTGTTTAGTGAAGCTATCACTCCTTCTCGAGTTCTCCTAATCTTTGCGACTGCCCTCTTGCCTAATATGATCTCCAGCATATTGATCAATGTTAGCGTTGCCAGTGTAGTGATTGCTGTCCGCCCGAGCTGGTCTGTCGTAGAAATATTGTGGCAGGAAATTCATGGCTGCCTGTCTTTCGTCGATCTGGAGAATGTTTGTGGAGTTGGCTGTGTTGGTTCAGGTGACGCTGGAATGTCACTCAGGGCCTCACTGGTATCCCCCCATCATTCTGTTTGGGGGGCGTCTTTCTGTGATTCGGTAGTAACTGTCTGCGTCCTTCCTGGCCTCCGAGTTAGATCGGGTAGAATCGGTCAGTGAGTTGTCTCCTCTGGTCCGTTGCGCTTTCCGTTAGGTTTGTTTCTCCGAGACATGGTGCTTGCGGAGAAGGCCTCTCGCTCTGGCAAATACTTTGTATTGTGTTATGTAGGTTTCAGTCCTATCTGATGACAATTGCGGAGAAGTTCTCTCGCTCTGCCTATCCTCAAAGGGACCAGCAGATACTGTATTGTGCAGGTATCAATATCTGATGACAATTGCGGAGAAGTCCTCTCGCTCTGCCTATCCTATAAGGGACCAGCATATACTGTATTGTGCAGGTATCAATACTATCTGATGATTGGCTGATATGGTGGAGCCGCGGTGCCGCTGCCGATGCCACACACCATGACATAAACAAAGAAACTACAAAAATAACTACATTGCCACATTTATATGGTACAAGTGTCCCACAGTATAACAGTAAACAAAAGTGTGGCATAAATTACATAATACTCGAACGGATCGTTCTGCGTTTTCTAAAGTTTTTAAAAGGGTAGGAAATTATAGAGAAAAGAAAAACAAAAAGAGGGTACGAAAGAACAAATAGTATATGTCAGCGAACCGGAA